GTTTTAAGAGTAGTAGATATTATAAGCATAGAAGATGAAATAAGCTTACATGAGTAAAAGGAGAGAGAGAGAACCGTGCTCTTCAACGTCTTCACAAGAAACTTCACCGAAACCTAAGAATATAAAAATGGCCGACGACGAAGAAGAAGGTGTTCCAACTTTATCAATGATATATAAGAAACTAATGGAAGTCCAGAATAACACAGAGGAAATTATGAAGGAGAATGCTGGCTTAAAAAAGGAATTTGAGGAACTTAGGAAAGCCTCTGAATTTCAATCCGAAACTATCAAAGAGTTACAAAAGGAAAATGTTCAATTGCGCAATGAATTGAAGGAACAAATCACTATTTCGGATACCTTACTAAGCAATATAGCAACACTCAACTGCAGGATAAGTCAGCAAGATGAACCGTTAGACGAATTAAATCAATATCAAAGAAAATATAACATTGAGATTCAAGGGATACCAGAACGAGACGGAGAAGATCTGGAAGACATTGTAGAAGATATAGCGAAGGAAATCAACGTAGAAATAGAATCAAACGACATCGACATTGTGCACAGACAGAGATCAAAACAGAATCCTAAGCCAATACTAGTTAAATTTAAGCACTATGATAATAAAAGAAGCATGTATGAAGCAAGAAGAAAGCTGAAAAGTTACGAAGGAAGCAGCGATAAAATTAATGGTGCGGAAAAARTCTACATCAACGAGCATTTACTGCGGAGAGAAAGAGGCTTTTCGCCGAGGTACGGAAGAGAGCTAAGCAGTATCACTGGTACAATGTTTCAACAAATGATGGCAAAATATTTGTCAAGAAAGAAAAAGGAGGAAGATCATACATGATTAAGAAACAAGCAGACCTGGAAGGACACTACTAAAACCCAATAAAATGGACATGTAAAGTTAAGTGAATATAAGTTAATGAATGTTTAAGAGAGTATAAGTTAGCATTAAGCAGCAGCCACGATTCTGAATAACTTTATTATACTTTTCTGTTTGAATTTTCCTTTTATAAGTTTTTTTTTTCTTTAACAAAAAGGGAACATCTTCTATCGTAAATATATCAAAATAATTTAAACTTTCAAATATGCAGATTCAAACCTGGAATTTCTTTACTAAGTCCCAAATGGTTGCATTACTTGTTTTGTACACCAACAATGCGACTATTATATGTTTTGTAAGTGTATGTAGTGTGAAAATGTCTTTGTTAAACTACAGTTTAGTTTTGAATATGTGTGGGATTAAGCAGATTCAATACCTTCTTTATAAGTGTTTTTTTGTCTTTAAAAGCTCATCAGATCATATTTAATACGGCTACATCTACTCCGCCTAACGAGGTTTACGTTCTTCTCTTAATCGCAGTCTTTCGGATGCAAATACCATTATGGCTAAAACCGGCTGTAACTGTCAAATGATATCACTAAATGTCCGGGGCATAAGGAACTTTAAGAAACGTAGAAAGATTTTTAATTGGCTTAAATCTCATGGGGGCGACAATGGAATTTGTTTCCTTCAAGAAACTTATAGTTCTCAGGAAATTGAAAGTCAGTGGAGGAACCAGTTTAAAGGAGAAATAATCTATTCACATGGTTCATCACATAGTAGAGGAGTTGCAATCCTTCTAGGGCCAAAACTTAACTATAAGGTTATAGAAAAGGAGACAAATAATGAGGGGCGTTTTCTTATACTAAGGATAGAAATACGAGGTCTAGAATTCGTATTAATCAGTTCATATCTTCCAAACATAGAAAAAGAACAGGTTATTCTGTTAAAAAATATAATGACGAAAATCGAGATTTTAACTTTGTTGTCGATTTAGATTTAGAGGCAGTTGGAGGAAATCCCAAGCTAAAAGTTAATTCTATTGAACATTGAAAGCTAATATATATATCTAGGCACTGCCTAAAAGCGGAGCTCCCGATACGGAAGTCACAGGGAGAACAATTTGAACGAAACTGAAAGGTTTTTTTTGTTTTTTGTTTTTTGTTTTTTGTTTTTTGTTTTTTGTTTTTTTCTTTGCGCGAGTATACTCTCCCACTTAGGAATTTCGTACACAACTCATCACCACCCCCAGGGACTAGTTTTGTTCTTGGAAGATTCTTCGACAAAGTTTTCCAAGGGCGACAGTTTTAGGCTTTGAATCTCTTTTACTTAAAAAAACGAAAGATAACTACAGATAATCCAATACAATATCAGGTTTAGTGAAATTTACCTCGGATTACGCTAATGCCTTGTTTGTAGAGTAGGCCAACGCCACCGCCCGTCCCTACCAATCGGGGGGTATGAATAAAACGGTAACCAGTCGGACRAAGATCGCCAATAATGACATCATCTCCCTCGGAATGAAGCCATGTTTCAGTAATTCCTAGCAAATCCACTTCATAGTCAACTACAAAGTCTTTAATGATCAGAGTCTTGTTGCAGACAGACCTGGCGTTGATAAGACCAGAAACAAAGTGTCTATTGAACGTAAAATTAGGGATTTGACTGATGTAGTTAACAGAACGCAGATTATGCAGACTGGCTATCTTTGGAAAGCAATAACCATTGTTAAAATTAGCGTATGACAATGGCCGACGAGAGTGAGAGACAATAGTAGTAATCTTGTTATTATCAGAGCCAGGATTCAGAGACCATGTTGGACATTTAGGAGCAGCGTCTGGACCTGGGTTTAGTTCAATATCGCCACTGCATTCCAGAATTATATTCCTACTTGCATCGGAATAGGACGTTTGCACGATGTCATCATTTGAATCCCACTACCAAGATGCTTCGCGAAATTTCTTTCTTATTTAAATTTGTATTCCCTCATGAGAATAGTAAGACAATTGGTGCTAATTAACTGAACAAAAGAAAGTGTGCAAGGGAGTCTGGTAGTAGAGGTCAATGACGCCATCGTGCAAACGTCCTATTTGGATAGTAAAGACAAGGACGTCGACTTCTTTTAACACTTGAATAAAGGCAATCCTCTGGGATTAGCTGTTGAATAGACCCATTTATATAGAGTAGATGAGCTCTCATTAGCATAGGAACCAAGTGGACCGTGAATAAATGAATCTCTGTAGTCAATCAATGTGGAACTTGGAAAACCTTGAAAATCATTCGTAATAAAAGAAATACTTGGCTTTTGCTCCGATAAAGGGTTTCCAAATCTTCTTATACTAATAATGATGATGATGATGATGATGATGATGATAATAATAATAACAAGTAAAGACCCCTACACCTGCCAACGAGACCAAAACGATAACCTCACCTTCACCAAAATCAATAAAAGAGCTGCTGCGATCAAAGATCACGGAGAAGTATATAAAAGAAACAAAACAGCAGACATGGCTTGGAGCCTACACCAACCAACAACTCCAAGACAAACAGATTTCACCAACAGCCAACCAGATCCTGAAGAAGTGGAAAAACATTCCCGATATTGTCTACCGCGTAAACAAGAGCACACGCCAACAACTACTACCAACAAAGACATACCAACAAAGCAAAGCACAGATGACCATCACAGACACCAAATGCAGAATGTGCCATATGGCTACAGAATCAACAACACATGTACTGAGTGGCTGCTCAAAGATCGCCCAAAGTCTTTACACAGCCAGACACGACAGAATGCTGTGACCGATATACCACTGTTTGCTGGAAAAGTACAACTTTCAGGAAAGCGACAATGGAAAGCCATGG